TGGGGGCGGGGGGCGGGCCGCGGCTGGGTGGGCCCCAGGTCTGACCGCCCTCCATCCAGGGCTGGACTGCGACATCGACATCCAGAAGACCATCCAGATGGTGCGGGCGCAGCGCTCGGGCATGGTGCAGACGGAGGCTCAGTACAAGTTCATCTACGTGGCCATCGCCCAGTTCATCGAGACCACCAAGAAGAAGCTGGAGGTCATGCAGGTGGGTGCCGAGGGCTGGGCGCGGCGGGCCTGGGCGGCCCCCGTCCTGCCAGGACCACCACCCTTTCTCTCCCTGTGCCCACAGTCCCAGAAGGGCCAGGAGTCGGAGTACGGGAACATCACCTACCCCCCTGCCATGAAGAACGCCCACGCCAAGGCCTCCCGCACCTCCTCCAAGTGAGTGCCCCGCCACCTCGGCTGCCCCTTCCCGGCCTCCCTGTCACAGGGGCCCGTCTGCAGGGGAGAGGGGGCTCAGCCAGGCTGGCTGCTGTCCCCGACCCCGACCCTGACCCCGGCGGCTCCTTGTCCTGTGTGAGGTGCAGCCCAGGGTAGGGATGGTGCCAGTCACCTTGCGTCCTGGCCCCGCGTTGGGGGCCCAGAGAGGGGGCTGGCCCCTGACGGGCACCTGCGCCCGCAGACACAAGGAGGACGTGTACGAGAACCTGCACAGCAAGGGCAAGAAGGAGGAGCGGGTGAAGAAGCAGCGGTCGGCCGACAGGGAGAAGGGCAAGGGCTCGCTCAAGAGGAAGTGAACTGGCGCCAGGGCCCGCGGTACGTGCGCCCCAGCCTCCGCTCCGGGCCCTCCCAGGCTCTGGCGCCCCTTACCCTCCTCCCTTCTCTCTGCAGCCTCAGCCCCGATGCCCACGGAGGCCTGCGGTGGACAGACGGACCTCGGCGCCCCCTCCCGCTGTAGTTTAATGGCCGTGTCCCCTCACTGTCCCCGCCTGTACATAGCCTGTGCGGCCTGGGCAGAGCCAGGCCCTCCCACTCTGTGAATAAAGCCCGGCCGGTCCCTGTGTGCGGCCACTGTCCGTGCCTGGCTTGCTCGTGGCCTGGGGGAGGTGGGCTGGGCAGGGGTGTGGGTGGCCACCCCAAAGCTCAGCCTCGGGGCGGAACAAGCCTGGTTCTGGACTCGGCCTCGTACCCAGAAGTGGGACCCGGGCAAATTCCTCATCCTTCTCCTTTGAAGTGGAGGTGAGGGGGCCGGCAGGTGGCGTGTGGTTAAGGCGCTGGACTCCCACATGGCCAACTGTGGTTCGGGTGTCGGACCTGGTGGTTTGCTTTCTCACCTTCACTCTCTCTCTCTGTCTGGTTCACATTGAAATAATAATAATAATAAATAAAATTAAATAAATAATTCTTAAAAAAATAAAATGGAGGGTGGTGACAGGGTGGCTGTGAGCTTCACTGAGATGACGGCGACGCCGTGGTGACATAACTCACTGTACACTTGCCACATGCCCAGGCACCGGTCAAGAGCGTACACATGGGGAGGGCAGCCGGTGGTGCAGCGGTCATGTCGCTGGACTCCCACGTGGCTGACCACGGTTTGAGGCCCAGAGCTGGTGGCTTCAAATCACACCAGGCGTGTGTGCGTGTGCCCCAAATCCCAGGAGGAGAGTGGACTGCAGTGTGGCCACTCTCCCTGAGAGGTGATTTCTCACACTCTCTCTGTCTCGTCTCTCCCTGGTGAGCGCATGTGTCCTAGGGAAAAAGACTTACTTTTTTTTAAAAAAATTGTTTATTTAATTCCACTTGTTATTACTTTTTTTTAAAAATTTGACCATAGAGAGACAGAGGGAGAAAGAGAGAAAGGGGAAGTGAGAAAACAAGCTGCCAGGCCCGGGACGTAAGTCAGCCACGTGGGAATCTAGCACCTTTACCCACCACGCCACCTGCCGGCCCTGGCAGAAACCATTTTAAAAAAGAAAGGGAGAGGGACCAGCAGGTGGCGTGGTGGTTGGGTGGTGGTTGGGGTGGTGTACACTCCCACGTGGCTGACCATGGTTCGAATCTCGGACCTGGTGGCTTGCTTTCTCACTCCCTCTCCCACCTCTCTGTGTATGTCTCTTTCTCTGGTCAAATTAAAATAAATGAATAAATTTAAAAAAAGAGGGAGGGAGAGAAATTACACACGGGTCAGCTGGAGGTGTGGTGGCTGGGGGACTGGATCTCACATGGCGGGGTACTGGATCTCACATGGCTGACTACACAGTTCAAATCCTGGCCCTGGAGGCTTGAGAAACATGCCGTGTGTGTGTGTGTGTGTGTGTGTGTGTGTGTGTGTGCCCAGAACCCTCACCCTGAGAGAATGACAGGGGTCGCAGTGTGGCCTTCTCCCCACACACCTGCTCTGGGTGGTGCATTTTCACTTTGTCTCTCTTTTCCTCTTTCTGTCTCTCTCCAGTGAGCACATGCACCCTGTAGCAAATTAAAAAAAAAAAGAGAGAGAAAACGTCTATACTTATTAATCCAATCCAGGTACCATTGTCATTGTCACTTACAGTGCAGAGAAGGAGGGACAGAGGCAGCATGTGGTCACAGCACTATTAAGCCATGGAACTAGTATTTCAGCCCAGACTGTCTGGCCCCAGACCTCACACTCTCTACTCTGGAGAGGCAGCTGGGGTCGCCTGGAGGAGAACCCTACCTCACAGCCCTGAGGCCGACTTCTAGATCCAGGAACCAAGAATAATGAGGGCCATGGAACCAGCAGTTGGCGTAATGGCTATGTTGCTGGACTCCCACGTAGTTGAACACGGTTTGAGTCCCGGACCCAGTGGCTTAAACTCACGCCGAGCGCGTGTGCTTGTGTGCCCGGGATCCCGAGAGGAGAGTGGAGGAGAAGAGATCGTGGGGTGGCCATCCCCCCTGGGGGGTGATTTCTCACTTTCTGTCTCTCTCTGTTCTTTTCTGGTGAGTGCATGCGTTATAGCAAAAACCCCTCAAAAAAGAAAAAAAAAAAAAAAAAGATGAAGAGGGCCAGGAGGCCCAGGGGACGGCGGCAGTGTGCTGCTCCCCTCCTGGGACAACCCCGGCTTACACCCTGAGGTCTCTGCACAAGCCGGCCGGGTGCTAGCGTGTGCCGTGGTCAGGCTGGCCTAGGCTGGGGATGGGCTAGGGTCCGAAGACCCCCTCCATCTGTCTCTCATGGCTGGGGATGGGCTAGGGTCCGAAGACCCCCCCATTCCACTGTCTCTCACGGAATAAATAAAACTTGAAAAGAAATAAAGGGGGACAAGCAAGGACATGCTGGTTAAGGCGCTGGACTCCCACATGGCTGACCACAGCCTGAGTCCCGACACAGCAGCTCGCTTCCTCATTTTCTCCCTCTCTCTGGTGAGTGCATGTGCCTTATAGAAAATTAAAAAAAAAAAAAAATTAAGGGGCTGGCAGGTGGCATGGTGGTTACGGGGCTGGACTCCCACGTGGCTGTGGTTCGAGTCCCAGATTTGGTTGCTTGCTTTCTCACTTTCCCTTTCTCTTTCTCCGTAGTAAAATTAAAAATAAATAATGATAACAAATAAGATTAAGTAAAACAAATAAGTAAGCAAAACTTTTTTTTTTCTTTTTGAGAGGTGTCCTCCTATTGCAACCTATGCTCCTTTTTCTTTTCTTTTCTTTTCTTTTTTCTTTTTTTATTTTTTGGAGAGGTTTTTGCAATAGGGTGTGTGCGCTCACAGGAAAGACAGAGAGAGCCAGAGAGACAGAAAGAGAGAAACCCCCCCCCAGGGGGGATGGCCACGCCGCAATCCCTCCTCCTCCATTCTCCTCTCGGGATCTTGGGCACGCAGGCACACACGCCCAGCATGAGTTTAAGCCACCGGGCCCAGGATTCGAACCGCGGTTGACTGCATGGGAGTCCAGCGACATGGCCATTTCGCCAACTGCTGGTCCCAATAAGTAAACAAATCTTCAAAAATTAATAAAATTAAATAAAAATAATTACTTTGAAAAAGAATAAAATAAAAGAAAGTACAGGCCTGACACTGGGAGCTCCCTGCCCCACCTTTGGAGGAATTGGGTCCCTGGGTCCCTCGCCCTCCCTCAGGCGCCTGCTGAGGAGAGTCGACATAGCTGGGCACCCCGAAGGTCTGAGCCTGTGTGTGGAAGGGCTCCTTGATTCAAAGCACCAGGTCCTCCGCCAGCCAGTGGTGTGTGGTGAAGGTGCTGGATTCCCCAAGGCCAGTATGCCGCTCAAGTCCAGACCCAGTGGCTTGAGAAACATGCCTGGAGTGTGTGCACGCGTACCCAGAACCCCGAGAGGGGACTGGAGAAGGGCTCGTGTCCTGGTCCTCCCCCGGGGCTGCTCTCTCTCCCTCTCTCTCTCTCTCTCTCCTGTGAGAGCATGTGCCCTGTAGCAAACTAAACACAAACAAAAGCAAAACAAAAACCCACCAGTCTCGGGGAGGTGAGCCCAGGGACCCTCCTGGACATTCCGAAGCACATGGGCCTGAGGTTCCCACGCAGCTCACGCTTGTTTGTGTCCCCGGTGTCGGCACTGGGCCAGTTCTAGGCCGGAGGGTGACGAGGCGGAGCCTATCCTCTGGGAACTTAGGAGACTGGTCTGGGAGACGGGGCCAGAAACAGGCCACACGTGAAGTCATTGCAGCCTGTGCAGAGGGATGAGGACAAAGGCAGAGCAGCTGGGAGGCCGCACAATAGCCCCAGGCTCGCCCCAGGCCGGGTGGGTGGGGCATCACCTGTCCGCCCCTCCCAGCAACCCCGGTCTAGCCTGGTCTGAGCCAGGTCCCGTCTTCCCTGCTCTCTGGCGGCCAGGTGGGGACTTGGCCGGGGTTGGGGCAGCCGAAGGACAGCAGCCCAGGTTGGAGGGCCAGGCTGGCTGATGCCTTCGCCCTGCTGGGCTCTGCCTGCCCTTCACCCTCCGCTGGCCTGGCGGGGCCTATTTCTTCCCCTTCTCTGGGGATGCCCGGCATCTGCTGAGCTGACCCTCCTGACCTCAGGGAGCTCTGGCCCTAAGTTCTGGTTGTGGGCAGGCTCTGAGGCCTCAGAGGGGATGGCTAGGCCTGGGACAGGAGTCGCTGAAGGGAGGGGACATGAGGAAGGCCCCTTCTTTGTCCCTCTGGCGACAGGGAGAGAATAGGCAGGTAGGAGAAAAGAGGCCACAGAGAGAGGGCAGGAGGCACTGTGGGGTGGCCAGGCCTCGGACAGGGTGCCTGTGGTTGGCCTGGGAGGGAAGGGGTTAAGGCGGCAGTGGGGGCAGCCTATAGCAGGAGGACACACCTGTGCGCAGGGGCGGGGCGGGCCCAGGTGAGGAGCCTGTGCTGCCGCTGCCTGCTGGGAGGCAGAGAAGGAAGGAGGAAGAGGTGAGGTCAGGGCGGGCTCTGGGCGGTTGACGCTGGGGCCTTGATGCCCCTTCCTCTCCTTGGCAGCTCTCTGGGGCAGGTAGGCCGATGGCAGGCGAAGGCCACTGGGCGGAGGGGCCTGGGCTGGGTTAGGGACTGCAGAGGGAGCTGGGGCCTGTGAATCTGGTGTGTTGGGGGCAGAGGCAGGCCACGGGGAAGGGGCTCGGAGGTGGACAGCAGACCGGGGCTGCAGAAGACTTGCCAGGGCTTGGGCCGGTCAGTGGCTCAGGACGGGGCCGTGGTGGACAGCGGGGCTTACCCGGAAGTGTCCCCAGGGACGTGGTGGGGGGGAATGGGAGCCAGGGCCCTGCAGCTTCTCCGCAGGGAGCCTGGGCCAGGGCTGGCTGGGTGCGGGCAGGCTGGGCGGGGGCCCTCGTCTTACCCAGCAGTGTTTGGGTGTTGCTTGGCATTCTCTAATACTGCCGGGTAATGATGGAGGCCCCCGTTCTGTCGGCGTCATCCTCTGCCTTGGGCACCCACCTTCCCCACGTGCCCACGCACCCTGGTCTTGAGCAGAGGGTGCTGCCAAGAGGTGGCCCCGACTGGCTGGGCCCCCCCCCCACGGGG